TCGTCTCGTCATTTTTGGATGGAATCCGTTCCTTATTGGCTTAAACAACATGAACGTACGAGCATCTTGAACACACATTATATAAAATTCTTTTCCACCTTCCTTTTTCAAACTCTCTCTCTCTCTTTCTCTTTCTCGCTCTCTTTCTCTCTCTATTTTTCTTTTATTAGTATTTATTCTTTACTCTGTAGCATCCAATGCTGAACAATAATATCATAAGTTTTTTTTTCTATCTCTTTCTTTCACCCTTTCATCTTATTATTTTTTATTTTTCTCTCTTTAATTTCATCTTCATAAATTCTTGTTTTTTATTATTTTTATTTTTTTTATTTTTCTCTGAACAATGAGCGAGTTATCACTACGTATGTACGTATGTATGCATGTATTTATGTATGTATGTGTATTTAATTTTTTTTTCTTTTCATTTATTTTGAAAAATATGTCCGTCGTGACACACGGGTGTGCTCTCTCTCTCATTATTATTATTATTATTATTATTATTATTATTATTATTATTGTTATTATTATTTAATAATATAATTATTATTTATTATTTAATATATTATATTATTATTATTATTATTATCATTAATAATATATTTAATATTATAGTTATTAATATATTAAATATTATTATTATTAATATAATTATTATTAATATAATTAATATTATTATAATAATTATTATTATTATTATATTATAATTTTTTTTTCCTTTCATCTTATTTTCGTTTCTACATTTTTTTTTTCATGCATTACTAAATTTCAATATTTTTAGCGCAATCATCGTAATAATAGATCCCTAAATCGCGAGTAATAATATTTACACCCAGCAGACAAAATACAACGTCTGTGTAAATGAGTGTGGTTGTGTGTGTGTGTTTTATCAGTGATGTGTGTAGATTTTTGTTTGTGCTTAATTATATATATGTGTGTGTGTGTGTAGTATATGGCTGTATCGGATGATGATTATTGGAATAATTTGTTTACCATTTTTTTTTTTTTTTATATTTCGAATGAGATATTTGACCGATTTTGCGAGTAGTATATTTTATTTATTTATTTTACGTGTCTCTCATTTTTATTGTTTTATATTTCATACGTTGTTTTTGTTTGTATTTTTTCTTTGCTAAAGGATTTCCACACATTTCTTTATTTATAATCTCACTTTTTCCTTTCTTTTTCTTACTCTTTCTATTTCTTTCTGACTTTCTCTCTCATTCTATTTTAATTCGATAAAACGGAAATAGAGCATTTGTGCGCCTCTAATTAACGAGCAACCATCACAATGAGACCAACGATGTCCAGTTTTTTGTTTTTTGTAATATTAATATGTCTTTGGTATCGTGCCTGAGTCTTCTTTTACAATACTCTCCATTTTGTTCTTCTCATTTTTTTTCTATTAGTTTTTCATCTTTGTCATCCCTCTCTCTTACTTGTTTTCATTATTTCTATGCAAAAAAAAAAAAAAGATTAAATGCAGCTAAAAAAACAACAATCAAACACTATTTAGACCATACCCGAAGAACTTGTTCTACTTTTAATCCTCATTGATCCTTCCTCTTTTTTCACACACACACACACTCCCAATCTACGTATATTAATAGTTAAATATTTAATGTGTGGGTTTTTTTTTATATATCTATATATATATTTTAATATATATTTTTAATAAAAAACTTATATAGAAAAAGATTAATCGTCGTCGTCGTCGTCGTAGTGGTGGTGGCGGTGGTGGTGGTGTTAGTGGTTATGAGTTGGTGGTAGTTTTTTTTTGTTTATTTACGCAAAATTAGCGTAGAAAAAAGTATTTTTTTAAAACTACATCTAACACACCTGTAAATTCATTGAGACAATTTGAAGTCACTTGGCATTTATAACAGCGTGTGTGTTTTTTATTTTATTTTATTTTTTTTAACAATAATCAGAGCAAAGATATCGGATCAATTTTATTTCGATACTTTTTCTATTTTAAATTTTTGTTTTAAAAATGTTTTCGTCTTGATTTTACTTTTTGCTTCTTTCTTTTTTATTTTATTTTATTTTTGTTTTGTTTTGTTTATTTTCTCTTCTTTTTTTTTTTCTTCTTCTCTATTTATGGCAGCTTTGTAATCACGCGGGATAAGTCGCGCGGGTGTCATGCGAAATGCTTACAAACAACTTTCGGATTTATTTTTTCTCTTTCTTTCTTTCTTTCTTTCTTTCTATTTCCATTTTTTTTTCTTTCTCATTCGTTCGAAGTCTAACAATGGTCATTTCACGATAGGATTAGGATCATCGTTTATATTTTAATGTTCATTTTCTTTCATTGAATTTCTGCGATATGTGTTGGTATAATCAACGTATAACAAATTTGACTTTCTACAAAATGTTCTTGTGTTTTATATTGGATTATCACGTATAATTTTACTAGCTAATTTAAATTGCATATCGAATCGATTTTATGATGATTCGTAATAAATATATGAGACTATATAAAAGTTGAAGATACAAATTAACAATCCCTTTCACAATCTTTCTTTAACATAACCGTAAAAATTTGTACAGGAATGAAATATTATTAATATGAGATATAAGAAATAAAAATAAATGCAATTAACAAAGTTAGAAGATTAATTAAAAGGAGTTTGTCTCTTCCCCTTGAAAATGCTTCACATTATTACTGCGAATTAATAAAAAAAAAAACAAAAAACAAAAAAGTGATAAGAGATAAATCCATCTTTAACCCTTGGAGTACTATAGACGCATATACGTGTGTTTGGTAATATTAATATAAAATAATGTAACGTTTATATTAATTAATGAAATTATATTCAGAAAAAAAACTTTAATTATTAAATATAATTTTTAAATATAATTTCGTTTCTATAAAACATTTCAGTTAAAAGTAATCAGCACTCAAAGGGTTAATTATTTCACTGTAATAACTTCGATCCTTTTTCAAACATGGCAATAAAAATATGAGTAAAAATACGACGATCCAAACGTGAAATTTCTAAGTGAAGCTTTTTACTTTTTATCATTTTTTTAATTAGAAATTTATAATAACAAGAAATGCGATGGAATTTGTACTGTCGATAAAAATCAAAATGTCCATTTTGTTTTTTCCTTTTTCGTCTTTTAATACATTTTCATTCGTTCATCTCTTTCTCTTTCTCGTTTCATTTTTTTTTTTTTATATTTCTTTTCTTCGGTCATTTTTTTATTTTTATTTTTATCGTTAAATATTTCTTTAAACGGTTCTCATCTTCATAAAGAACAACGAAGAATGGTTCTAGGCTCGCCCAAGGGCTCTTTCAGTCTTACCGTTTTTTTTTTTGGGTAGTGTGTGCATTTCTTCATTTTGTTTAAATCTTCCTTATTTATTTATTTATTTTTAATTCCTTTCTTATATCGCGCGGGGAGCTTTTAAAAAATATTAATTTACTTTTTTCTTTTCTTTTTTTTTTTTTTTTTTAATAATCCTCGTTTATTTCTGGGCGAGTCCCGGTGCTCTTCTAATCAACGATCGTCGATCAACGAATAAAATAATTTAATAATAATTAGCGTATCCTAATAAACAACAACTAACATTTGTTGTCTACCTTTCTCATTTTCTCTCTCTCTCTCTCTTTCTCTTTCTCTCTCTCTCTATCTCTCTCTCTATCTCTTTCTGTTTTTCTTCCTGTCTTTCACTTTGTTTTTTTCCTCGCCATTTTCCTTTCCCTTTCTCGTTCGGTATTTCGTATTTTCGTGTTTTCGTGTGTCGTGTGCGTGTCAAAAGTTACAGACGGCTGAGTCGAGGATTCATTGTTCGCATTTTCCAAAGTTCATGAAACGAATAATGGTAGGCCATCTCTCATCCTTAACCATTGTTATTTCACAAAAGGATAAATAAAAGCTTTCCTCTCGACTTTGGGAAAACGTCAGTCTCTCTTTCTATATACATATATAATATATTCAATACATATATATA